TGATGAGGAGGGAATCATGACAGCCTGGAAGGGGGAGGAACAAAAAAAACACAAAGGAATTTTAACTATCCTTTTGATAACTGTTCATTACAGGTTACAATAAACAGATTAACACCAGTCTCTGAATGTACAGCTGTGTGGGATTAACTATAAACAAACAAGAAAACTGACTTACTGTCTCACTTGGCTGGAATGTGAAGGCTGTAAAAGTACATAAAATAATGTTACATCTCATCTGACTGGAAATCAACAATATCACTAAAGCAAAGCAATAACATTGTGTTTTCCATGTTCTTCAAGGAGTCTCATCAGAGATACTCAACTTGCTTTGCCCGGGGGCCACTTTTCCAAAATGACAGGGGGCCACATGCCACTTAATAAACAATATTTATTAGATAAAATGAACAGACATATATAGGCCCATAACTCATCTTTCTTTGAAATTAATTATTTTACTGCATTTAATAGGATCCAACTGAATTTTAGTTGTAAATGCTTTGGTTACATTTGAGAGTTTATATAGCCTCTTTCATGATGAAACCACTGAAATGTTGAAATGATTCCTATGTACAAACCATAGACATAAACTGCTCCTACCAGGAACAAAATTAATAGTATGCTGTATTTGAACTGTTACTGTGACATTCACATTTATGGGATTATAAATGTTCAAATGGTACGAGTTCATATGCATCATACTGTGTCATTTCTTAACTATACCTGCTTAGTGTGAGGGACTGCATCTCTTTTCCTTTGCATGCTTGCAAGATGTCAAGGTAGTGTGCATGCACTAGTTGAGATGCCAATCTGTGAGTCTTGTCCTTAATTAGATTCATCAGTGAAAAACCTGACTCGCATATTTAGGTTGATCCAAACACTGTGAAAACAACAACTCCACAATTCCCAAAGTGCACACTTGAACAAGTTCAGCTTCCACATATGGCTCGCCTTTCTTGGCTAGTTCCCAAGTTACACGAAGCAAAGCAGCAGTCCCCTTTGCAGCAGCAGTTGTTAGGTTTATTGATGTAGCTGAATAAGACAACTTCAAAGTTAAAATATTCTTTCCTTGCTGTGCTACCAGGGGGGTTGCTATACTGAAGGTAGTATGTTTCATCTCGTGATAGCAACCATTGCTAAGACAGCTGCATACAGCAGTTGTTATTTGGCATATTAAATGCAATGGTTTAGGATTTGCATGAGGTGGCAAAATAAAGACAAATTCCTCTCCCCATTTTTCATTGTCAAGCTTTCTACGTTTTTCTGTCCTCACTCATCTTTGCGAAGAAATGTATCAAAAAGCAGCAGCCCCATGCACGTCAAGTGTCTCTGAACTTAAGGCCAAACACACTGACAACATGTGACACGACACCACGCAACACTGTCAATGTGCATTTACAGAAACGAAGTGTCACCCTTTTGCACCCTGAATTTATTTTCACTGTGAATTAAGACAGTGGCCAGCTGGCACCCTATCGCGGACCATAAGATGAGTATCACTGACTTACATGCTTTATTGTATAGCATTTAATGGACATGGTGGGTGAGCAAGAGCTGCAGGGCTTCTTATTTCAGCTTCAACAAAATTCTGTTTGTATAATCAGTCAGCGTGTCACAACTATGCAGTGGTTACCCTTGTTGCGGCGATAGAAGATGCTCGGGAGTCGATTGGAGCGTTTGAGGTAGAAAAAAGAGGCAACAGACAGGATCAGGAACAGGCTTAGCAACAGTGTTCCTAGAAGCAGAGAGGCTGTCACGCCTGGGCCACCTGTGCACACAAACAGCACGAATCAGGAAACAGCTGTCAAGAAACTTGACAAATATCTTATCGGTTGCTGCAGACATTTACGATATCTTAATATTATTATCATAGTCTTTACAGTTTACATTTCAAACGCAGCAAATGAGGACTATATTAGCCCTTAAAATGTTCAGTGATCCTTAAAACTAAATGAACATTGCTTTGTTCTAATTAAGACTTGTATACAGATGGCAGCACAGGTCAAATATACATAGTGACTGTACAATATCAATATCTTACCAATTTTAGGAATGACTGTAGTTACAGTTGTATGATTCTTCTTCTCCACTGTGTAGTCTAGAAACCATAGAAAAAGAGCAGATTAACAAAGACAATGTGACATTCAGCTTTTTATTTATTTAAAAGCAGTCAGTAGATGACTTACTGTAGGTGCAGACCGTTATGTTCTCCAAATCCACAGCTGCTGAATCACAGAATATGCAAATAGTGTTGCTGTTCTCAAGGACACGTAAAAAGCATCCTGAAGAATACAAAGGAAGACTATATATATCACATTACTTGTCACTTTTTCAGACTTTATGTTGTTCATTGAGAAAGCTCATTATTTTCCATATGTATTTATAATACATTTGCTAGTGTTAAATGAAAAAAAAAAAACTATTGCCCTAACTAATACATTTTTTAAAGTTTCAAATTAATCATTTAGACCTTCAGAATAGAAACTGGACAGTATTTATCCAAAAGGTGGTGAACAGCTCAATAAATGGCCCCATTTTAGTGCATCTGGTGAATAATCTGAATTGTTCTGAATAATGCAAGATACACTGACTAATGACCAGAACATCCTTTCTCTATGACTCATCTTACAGCTGTGATAAAAATAATGATGTTAAAATGGTGAAAGGTCAGTTATGCTCTGCATGTGGTTTACAACTTTACTCACTTGTCAGCGCTAAGTCATTGAAAACCACATTACCTGGTTTACAGTGAGTGTCATTTGAACATGAATAGTTCACTCTTGGTTTCTCGCCACAGCACTCAAGTGTGTTCTGATGTAGGGCCTACAAACAGCAGTGTTCACAGATTAACAAATCAGTGTAGCCTGAACAAAAGACACACATTGGCCATTTGGTTGGGTAGCATTTCATTTTCTACCTTAGTTACAGGTGTCTCGGGTCTGATAAGAATCACAGTAGCAGCCAAGACCAAAAGGAATGACAGAGTCATTTTCGAGCCCTTGGAGATCAAAAAGACTTGAATTAGATGTATATTAGTCGCTTTGACTAGGCACATAGCAGGACACATACATTTACCCATTTAGTCTCACAACAAAGAAGAATGATCACATTTGTTTTAGAGATCATGTGTTTCCTGACATTACATATAAATGTCTTCTACAGCGTCATTATAAGGATAAAGAGAACAGTTTAAACAAGCTTCAGAACATTTTTTTATCTTAGAAACTAGTGTTGATTGTCAAAACGAAATTGAATGATGATGGCCGGCTATCAAACTTGCATATTTTCTTGGTACCAAATGAAATACGTCTTTAGCAATAAAAACGATAACTGAAGTACTGAAAGTTAGCACCAAATGCCTGGCCAGATTAATAGTTTTGTTACTTATCCTTCAAATAAATATATAGTTATTTAAACCAAAATTCGCTCATTATAGACTATATTGTATTTAGGGAGCTCTTTTTTTTACTTCTTGCATTTAGACATTTCTTTCTATGGTTTAATCCATTAATTGACAAAAGCTGCAGCTCTAACGTTATCATAGCATTCAAAGTATAAAAATGAATAATACACAACTGTTTAAATATTCATAAGGAGACGGTCTTAAGCAAAACTTAAGTACTAACGTTAGTCACTATTCTGTCTGTAGTTACGAAAAATCAACTCTTTCACGTTCATTTTAAAATACAATGTACTTATTTTAAGGCTAACGCCTTTGTAAGTTAGCTAGTTTGTCAAAAATCGTATGAAACCAGCTAACATCACTTAAACGTTACAGGATGCAAACAGCTGTAGCGTTAACCAAGGTGTGTAGCTAGCTAACACCTGTCACTAGGATGAAGTTACTGTGCTAGCAGTCAAAGCTGAAATAACGATGTCAGCGTTAGAGAGGCTGATCTCATATATCTAACGTTGAATCTTCTTTACATCGTCGGATAACGTTATGTTTACAGGCACAGACTGAGTACTTGCACAAAGGTGAATGTAGAACCACAAAAAGTTTACTCACCGGACAAACGCTTTGGCCTGACCACAGTACTAGTTATGGTTTAATCAACGTCAGGTCTCATGCGACGCAGAGGTATCACTACAGAGCCGTCTATAACGTTATTTATTGGCAAATCTGTCATCAACACACCTCTCCACTATAGTGATGGGTGGACTCGAAACAGCATATAAACACGCTTCTAACCGCTTGCGACACTTCCGTCTCGAAGCGCTGCCGCATGCGTGTATCTGAACGGCCAAGTCACGTGACTGTTGCACATTGGTCCATAAAACGTTTCAAATCTCAGCGGTTCGCCGCTAGGGGGCCGATGGAACGTACAACTGCTGATCTTCGATCAGTTGATTTAGTTGACAGTTATACTATCTGAATAACCAAATAAGAATTTGGGCTGATCCTCGGTCAGTGATTCCTGTGACCTGTATGTATTTACATTCCGATTAACACAATAAAAGTCCGACAAACCTATTTGATATTGAGGGAGTTTGATTTGGACGATTTTTAAAGGAACATCGATTTGTTGTTGTTTCTTGATTTGGATGATGGTTGGAACAATAAAGAGAACAAGGTCGCTTGGGTGGGAGCACTTTGAGCTTTTGCAGCCCAATTCAGTCAAATGTAACGTTGGAAACCAACATCTGGCATTTCCTAACACATCATCAGAGTTGACACCTCTGTTCTGAGCATCCAGAGGATTTAAATGATGCAGGGCAAACTGGAACTTCACACATGCCTATGCAAGGTATGTATTGTTTATTTAGGAATAATAATTAATATATTGTTGCTGTTAATTTGGTCCTAGCTTCTACTGGCCTTATTTTCACAAGGTATGAACATCTGTGTAAGGGGTTAGCCCAAAACTGATAAATGTATTAGGCTCTGTGTTTCCGTGTGCTTTTTTCCTGCTCTTCTCCAGCAGCTTGTCTGAAGGAGGGAGCCCTGGGTTGTGTTCTGTAATCCTTTTATTTATATATCTATATATAGATAGAT